ACAGTAATGGCGACGGCTGTTAATGGCAATCACCCCAGTCGCCTTTTCTATGTGAGGGATTTGACTACCGGCACATTATTCCTGGTAGATACAGGCGCCGAGGTCAGTGTTATTCCCCCCTCACTATCCAGGCGATCAGCCAAAATACCTGGAAAACTTTCACTCCGTGCTGCCAACCAAACCAACATACAGACGTATGGCGAACAGTCAATGATTTTAAACTTAGGACTACGCCGACGTTTCACATGGATCTTCATAGTAGCTGACGTACGTCACGCTATACTAGGTGCAGACTTCCTAAGTCACTTCAATCTGTTAGTTGATATCAGCAAGAAAAAACTGGTTGACAATTGCACCCAACTCAAGATCCATGGTATTACATGTGACTACTCGGTTCATAGCATCTGTATAGAAAAGCCGGAGAGTGAAATGTTCTCTGCTTTATTGAAACGATTTCCTAAAATCCTTAAACCATCATACAACGTTGAAGATATATCTCATACAGTTACGCATAAGATCATCACAACAGGACAACCTGTGAAGGCACGTCCACGACGGTTACCACCCGATAAACTAGCAGCAGCTAAGTCGGAATTTGAACATATGATGCAGTTAGGTATCATACGACCATCTAACAGCCCATGGTCTTCACCTCTGCACATGGTACCTAAAACTAATCATGACTGGCGACCATGTGGAGATTATCGCGCTTTGAATAACGCTACGGTCCCAGATCGTTATCCTATACCTCATCTCCACGACTTCTCCTTGACCTTACATGGAAAGACCGTTTTTACCAAAGTTGACTTGGTCAGGGCATATCATCAAATACCAGTCGCTCCAGAAGACATTGCAAAAACAGCAATTATTACGCCTTTTGGATTATTCGAATTCTTGAGAATGCCTTTCGGACTAAAGAATGCTGCTCAAACATTTCAGCGTTTTATGGACCAAGTTACCCAAGGTCTTGATTTCGTCTTTGTATATATCGACGATGTCTTAATTGCCAGCTCATCGATGGAAGAACATATGCAACACTTAAGCCTGTTATTTCAAAGGTTTGAACAATTTGGAGTTGTTATCAATCCAAAGAAATGTATTTTTGGTTCCCCTTCCATTGAATTCTTAGGACATCGAATAACTGCCGAAGGCATCAGACCTACCGAAGATAAGATAGAAACTATTAAGAACTTTCCCGAACCTGATTCCTTAAAGAAACTTAGACGTTTTCTCGGGATGTTCAACTTCTACCGACGTTTTATTCCATCATGTGCCTCCATAGTTCAACCACTGACCGACCTACTTAGATGCAATTCGAAGAAATTTCAGTGGTCTGAAGAAGCAAAAGCAGCATTTAATAATGCAAAAGATGCCTTATCCAACGTCGTAATGTTATCTCACATCAACCCAGAAGCTTCACTCATTTTATGTACAGATGCATCGCAGGTAGCAGTGGGAGCAGTTTTACAACAAAAGTTCAATAATGACACCACTCCACTTGCTTTCTTCTCCAAGAAGTTGGAACCTGCGCAAACTCGTTACAGTACCTTTGGCAGAGAACTGTTAGCCATCTACCTAGCAGTGAAACATTTCAGCTTCTTACTACAAGGTCGACATTTTACTATCTTAACCGACCATAAGCCTCTTTGTTATGCTTTCACCACTTCGTTGGACAGACACTCTCCGAGAGAAGCCAGACAACTGGATTACATCTCACAATTCTCAACAGACATCCAGTTCATCAAAGGAGATTCTAATATCGTAGCCGATTCTTTGTCTCGATGTGACGTTAATCACCTATCTTCGATAGATATTAGCTTAGACAATATTGCCAAGCTGCAGAAAAATGACGCCGAACTCCATACTTGTAGACGAAACTCCTCCCTACAGTTGCAGGATGTACCTATTCCCCTGTCTGATACAACTATCGTCTGCGACGTTTCAACGGGAGTTCATAGACCTTTTGTTCCACTAAGTTGTCGAAAAACTTTGTTTGAACATCTACATTCATTGTCTCATCCTGGAGTGCGTGCTACAGTCAAGTTGATCAGCGAGCGTTTTGTTTGGCCCAAGATGAACTCCGATATTCGGAAATGGGCCCGCCAATGCTTGCAATGTCAAAGATCCAAGGTACATCATCACACCGTCACACCTCCAAAACAGTTCAATTTACCCGATAAACGATTTCAACACGTTCATATAGATGTTGTTGGACCATTACCGCCATCCAGAGGATTTACTCATATACTTACTGCGATTGATCGATTTACCCGATGGGCTATTGCTTGTCCACTCAACGATATATCTGCAGAAAATATCGCTTTGGTTTTCTTAGATCGCTGGGTGTCAAACTACGGAGTACCCACAACTATTACAACAGACCGAGGAGCTCAATTTCAATCAACTCTGTTTCGAGAGTTTACGAGACTCCTTGGAGTGAACCATATCTCCACTACAGCTTATCATCCTGCAGCGAATGGTCTGGTGGAACGTTTCCATCGACAACTGAAAAGCTCGCTTATGGCACAAGCTGACTCATCTAAGTGGAGTGAACACCTACCATTAGTTCTTCTCAGTATCCGATCAACTGTAAAAGAAGATTTGGGATGTACACCAGCTCAACTTGTGTATGGTACTACCCTCACATTGCCTGGTCAGTTAGTTCCGTCTAATGATTCAACTGAAGTAAATATCTCCGACTTCACCAACCGCCTTACCCAGCATATGCTTCAGCTTAGACCAGTAGCCCCTCGCCAATCACTTCAGAAAGCTCAAGTAAATAAGAACCTACTCACTAGCAAATTTGTATTTGTTCGCGTCGATGCCATTAGAAAAGGTTTACAACATCCATATGAAGGTCCTTTTCTAGTACTTAAACGCACCGAAAAATACTTCACGCTGAACAAACATGGTAAACCGGAGACTGTTTCTATCGACCGTCTTAAACCAGCGTACACCGACAGCGAACATGAAACACTAGCAACGCCGACACCAATAAACAATCAGCAAGTCAATGCAACTCCAACTCTCCCGCTCTTCACTCTTCCCCCTGTACAGACACGCAGTGGGCGGCAGATCTGTAAACCTGCCCGCTATGTTCATTTCATTGACTGACATAAACGTTAACCTCATTTAGACATACTTCTCATTACTATTGTTGTTAACATTCACTTCATTATAACCATTAATATTTATTAGTATTATTATTTGCTGTTCGTCAACTGTACTGCAAGCACACGCATTCACCAAGTATATGTGTATATCTATTTATATATGAATTTCACAAATGTTAACAAACATGTCATGGTTTATTATGTACATAAATTTTTATTTAAAATTACAACAAGTTTTGATTTTTTTTTAAATTCCTGTATGTGCTTGTATGTGCTAAACTTTATACGACACGGATGCATGCCATACATCCTGATCTAACTTTGTATCCTTATTGTTGTTGTTATTTTTTGTTATCCATATTGTTGACATTATCCCTTATTTATGTTGCTTATATTCATGTAATCGTCCACGAGGGCAGTACTGATGGTCCTCCGGACCTCTAAGAGGGGGAGCCCTGTGGAGTCCTCAAAAAAAACTTATCCAAATTTTACTACTATGTAAATAATGAACATATTGTACACCACTTTGTTTTAACCATAAACTCTGTACTTTGACTTTACCTCGGGTTTTGAATAAATATATAGTTGTGCCTTCGACTCTCCGTCTTCTCCACCATCTCAACTGCCGTCGATCAATCCTAATCACCTGCTTTCTATCTCTGATTTTTGCAGGAGCACCGTAGTTTCTTCCTACGTACTTTGGTCGACCTCCGGCAACGTTAACATTGGAGAATTACTACTGGAGCAGTCTTTCCGCAGCACCTGGAGTCTATTACGTTTATTGTGGACTGTGGACCTTTGTAAACTCAAGTAATCAAACTTTAATACATTCTTCCCGTAACTAAACTCATTTGGTATTTTATTTTCTACTTGAATTTGGGTAACTAAGCTAATAGAGAGAAAAGGTCCACCGCACGTTTAAGGCAATCATTTCCATTCAGGAAATTCCAGTGTCTGTCGGGAAGAAGTAGGTGTTGCTCAACGTGTAATGTATTCGGGTATTGTAATGATACACGTTCCTTTCATATACACTTATATTAAAGATGTCAGGATTCGAATTGTTGAAATTCATCGAATACAGATGAAAATGTTGAAGTTCAGGTAGACAGATAAAGTGTACGAAACATGGGAAGGTCGGAATATCGCTGGGTAAAAATGTAAGGGATTTTCCAATTAGGTTCAGAATGATAACAAATAATATTTGAATATATAAAACTAGTTTAAACACATAATACACGCCAGTTGTACTATTAGGTCTACGTCAATATTGTAATCATTTTTATAGCCTCGGCGACTGTCGACTACGAGCAACTAACTTCAGAGTTAATTGGCTTAGATGACTTGAAAATTCATTTATTAGTCGGAGCATGTAAAAATTGATGTGTTGGACGTCTGACCACTTGTATGTGTGATTTGTCAGGTATGGTGATACGTGACAGTATTTTTTGTGATGATGTGACAGTTTAGAGGACAAGTTATATTTAACCTTCTTCAATGAAACGTATTTAGCTGCATAGGAGCTTCCACCGCTCTGTGTCCTCGTTCAATACTGTGACATTAACCTCATATATTGGTTGCTGACTAGATTGATGAAGGCGTCTTTCTGAGATTTATATTGTGTTGAGTTGATTCTAGAAGAAATCTATTATCTGATAATATTTAAGTGTGACTTCAAGTGTGTTTTCATCCAGCGATATTGTCTGAATATATACGCAATGACTCACGCCTTTTTAAACTGTCAAAACTGTCAAGCAAACATTATTTCCTTGAACACTTTCTGGCGATAAAAACCGTACCGAAAGTCACCGAGTAAATCCCTCAATTATTATTTTATTTCAGTCGTGATGCTAACATCGTTTTTCCTTTGAAATTTCAGCATATTTCAGTATGATCCTTTCCAGAGCATCCTCTACACATACAGCGCATAACAGTCAGACAAAGCAAAGCGGCTCCCCCAGATTTTTTGTTTGGGTAGGCACATGGTTATTTGTTCAATAAATTTGCGTGTTTGTAGTTCATCGTCGATTTGATTATCATGATACTCATGACAGTGGGTGCTGTCATCTTAATTCATAACATGTAAGATTAGATCAATAGATTAAATGATATTATCTTTTGTAGACCTACAATAGGCATATTCTTCACACAGCATTACTATGTGGAATACATTCTTCTGTAAGTTCTGCACTCAGTATTGATTACTATTTTCGGTTTTCTCAGTGGAATGCAATACCTCTGATTGACCTTTTTCTCTGCAGGCCTTTCTAAATCACTCCATGAATGTCCATAAACTTTCATTTTCTGCTCACACATAGTCAGCCATTTGAGGACCAAAACCGACTTGTTGTGGTCTGAAAGCAGGAAATGGATCATTTCGTCCTCCTGAATAACTGATAATAATTCTCTGAGACACGTACAGTCACAAAACACCTTAAAGTCACCAAAAAGGCAGCTATGTGTTGATCGACCTACGTGAATCTGTTCAACACAGCTTCCGTTAGAAATCTAAAATTATTTCACCAGTGTATATTGGAGGTCATATAGGAAAGATGGGTTCTACTACAAAAAGAAGTAGTTAAGAACAAAATGAGTTCACCAAAGTGAAACTTCAATAAGTAGCTGAGAATCAGGTAAAATTTTCAAACAAGGCGGAATCAAAAACCCTGTCAACAAGACCCACATACGAAACAATTTTCGCAGTTAGTTCAGCATTAGAATATCCTTGATTCAGTCAAACAAAATCTATGTAGCAAAACAACACATTGCCAATGTTTCTATAATCACAACGACAAGTAATGAGCATCAAGTCTACATTTATGAAATTGTGAGCATAGTTGTATACAGTCTAGAAGAAAAGCGAATAGTAAGTTGAAATATCCAAATAATCACAAATATCGTGATAACATCGCACATTCAGGACTACACAAACACATATTCAGTTACAGTATTAGATCTCCTCTACACTCAGCCTGTTTTGTTTTATTTGCTAGCCAGTTGTCGATTTGACTTTTGCTTTCCCAGTACTTTAGATTGTACACTAGTCAAAGCGATTCCATCGTCATTCATATTCGAGCCAACTCCTCGTACTTCACCAACATGCCATACTCCGAAGGTGTCGATGCCCAGTTGATAGATGTCTGCCTCCTTCTATCTTCCTTAAATAATTATGAAGACTTGTTCTTAAACCACCTGTAGAAACGTCTAATTTTTTGTTCTGTTTGTTCTGTTGCCTGAAATAAGTGTGTCTTTTCTAGTTCGGTGTTTCTGAGAGTTGAACTTGAATTGTTGTTCATCCCAGCCTTTTCCAAAAGTCTTCAACATGACCTCGGAGGTCCAAGTGGTCACCTGCTTCTCCTCCCAATTTCGCCTCCAGATGGCTGCTTTGGGAAATTGTTGAGATCGGGATCAGTTCTATCCGTTTTTCGCTATGTCATTCTAGTGCGAAACATACTGACATGTGAGTGTCATTGAATACACAGAAGCCCCCAGAAAAGTAGCTATTCTAGTTCTTATCTCCAAGTGGCTTTCAAACTATGATTAGTTTTAAAGGTTCGCCGTCCGCTTCAAATTCGGCTCCCATATCACGTATTTCATTTCTGATGTCTCAAGTTGGGTTAATGGTCTGTTACTCTCTGAGGTTTTCGGTAGAATGCATCCTTATTATGTTGATCTCCATAGCATGGCATTGAATACTTTTTACAGCATTTACATATTATCTCCTTGTGCCACACACCCGAAGGAGATTGATTCACAATACATAATAACTTTCTAAGCTGTTACTGAAATTATGATAGCCATATTAGTGTAATTCTATGTGTAAAACATGGGCACTGTGGTAGTAAGTAATTCCGTATTAGTCTTTTTATTAGTTGTATCACACAGTGAAACAGTATTATTTACTGGAACACGTTTCGAACAAAATTTATTGTTCGTAATCATATCAGTTAAAATCACACGACTTAAAAACTTGAGTTTTATAGTTTTCTTTGTTGTCTCCTATTTGTCGTAGGGTTATTAGGATTTTTCAAATATGTGCAACAGGTGTTGAATCACTCCTATTACACGTATTTGCAGTTGATTCGATAAAAAAAGCTTCTCTTATCAATCTCTCCCTCCACCTTATGACATTAGATTTAAAAACTGTCTCTCATCCTAACCCATCCTATTGTATGGTTGTATGTAACTGCATATAATGCTATGGCTGACTTATTTATTCTCTAGATTTCTTATCTTATTTGGGTCAACCAATATAGAATTAGCCAAGTTTTTATGTTCAGCTAGTCTGACTGCCCTGTTCTACTAGTTTGACCTATGTATTTCACCTGACAATCATAGCAGGCTGAGTATTAGGTAAACTAAATTGTTTTGTTTTAAATGCTCCACGGGATTGATCCTTTAACCGACAAAGCTTGTTTCTAATTGAGTTTATGGGTGGTTTGAATGACAGCCACTTTTATTCCTGCCTGCCTTGTTAAGAATTCTGCGTAAGGTGGTTTCCGAGGTTCCTTGCTTGTATGGAATTACTGCTGATGACTTAGATTCCTCATTGTTTATATTGTCATCATCCTGCGTATGTATGACATGCATGTCATCAATAATACTACTTATATTATTACAATTATTTTTATTATCCGTCGGTGATAGTGATGTAGATTTCAAATCACCGGTTTTCGATTAAGTGCTTGAATTCCACTCTCCGTAGATGTTCTCTCATTTCGCTAACAGAGTCGACACTCCTGACAGTCTTAATTGAGCTACCATTTAATGTTATCACATTTAATCTATCAATCATCCAAAAAAGATGCAGTTAGTGAACAGCTTCTCGAAAGCCACCACTATTGAGTGTCATTTCATTTTCCAACGACGAATGAGTTTTTTTCGTTTATTTTTCTATAAATTATAAATAGTCATGTGGAGATTCGAACATCAATCATATAATGAATAATGCTGAATAACTATGCACTGTCTGAGATGAGTTATTGATATTTGCCAATTCATTTTAGATCAGTTACTGGCGTCCTAATAATAGTATTTATATTTGTGAGAAAAATTCGGTCAAACTATCTTGCTACTCGTATGGTGCTTGAAACTGTGGTAAGTATCAATTTGATTTAATCCTACATGGCAGTCATGGGATTTTCGAGGATTCGCAAATGTCTGTTGCAGCGGTTAAGTATTCTTATTTAGGCCTTATTTGTTTCTAAACTGCTACATTTACATTTATAGTACAGTGTTGTTTGTATTTCCCACCCATTATGGCTTTGGCACCCTATTGGACTTGGACTGTTTCAACCCACCAAAATATTTGGTTTCCATCACTGCCATTGCGAGCATATTTACAAATGTTTATATTCAACTGCTGTCAGATTTATTACGCTGTTTATATGAGATCGTAAATGCTCCACGCAAAGGATGTGTCTTCTTATCTTCTTGCATAGGCAGTTCTGTGATATCGTATCGTATCGTGCCGTTGTTGCTTGCCATTGAACTAGGCAGGAAATATTTAAGCGCAAACTACATATTGTAGTCCCTGTCATATCACATATAATTGGGAATATTTCGCGATGTGAGGGTAGAAAACTCCTATTTCTATGACACACCATGATGCAATTATGGTAAAATAATATTAAATTAATGAAGGAACTGAACACATTCTGAACAAAAGCGCCGCTTCCATGCTAACTGATATTTAGTGAAAGCCTGGCTTGTTATCACTAGTTTACATGTAGTTCGTTAACACAACAGAGGATGTCAGCATATAAATTTAGCTTATATTATTATTATTTAGCCAAATACAGACTTCATATGAAGTCATAGCTTCCATTGTTTCATGCATCTATAAGTTCAGTATGATTTTGATTTCGCAAGAATATCGATGCACCACAAATGAATCAGTCCACTAGAACTTCAATTGGATTATTATTATTATTGTTCCCTTAGGTTCCTAGTGGGACATACGGCTTCAACTGCACATCTCCATTTGCTTCTATCTTCCTTCTGCTGTACTTGTCACCTGCATCCATGTTAGTCCATACTGTTTCAACTCCTCTTCACACAATGTCATCTGTGTCACTCTTAGACGCCCCACTCACCGTTATCCTTTCGGGTTCCACTAGAGCAATGGACTGACGCGCGCCGATGTCACCAACGGCCTCCCCAGCCGCAAGTGTCCAATCCATCTCCACTTTCTCCTGCATGTTTATCGGGCGGTTGGTTCTTGTTTTGTCTGTTCCCATAGTTTCTTGTTGGTGATTCTTTCTGGCCCGGCCATCTGATATTCAGTATAGAGCCAGCGAAGACAGTTGTTGTGCGTCGGTGGTACAGTGGTTAGGACTCCAGCCGACCATTCACATGGTCCAGGGTTCCAGCCCACGCCGACGCACCCGTGATGTCTATGGTCGGCCTGCGAATTTTGGGCTACTGATATCCACGCTGAAGATTCCACACTTGTACCAAAAATACAGTGTGGAATCAAGCTGTAATAAAAAAATAAATAAATAATGGTCTGCAATAGTCTGTTGGAAATATTCTTTGTGACCCACCCGCCAAGTTTCTGATCCGTATAGAAGAACTGACTGACTTGACGTTTGTAGTGAAAATCCGAATTTTGTTGTTGATGCTGAGTGACGAAGGGTTCCAGACTGGTTTCAGATTGATGAATGTGTTCCTCGCCTTCCCGATTCTCGTTCGATTTGACATCCTCGTTCGTTCCTCCTTTAGTTGAGACAATGCTCCCTAGATAAGTGAGTGAATGAAGTAAACTCTTTCAAATCCCTCCCGTTGATGGTGATTAACGCTGGATGTTGCAGCTGTTGTTGTTGCTGCTGGTTGGTTATTTTCATAACCTACGTCTTGTCTATGTTCACTTGAAGTCCTGTCTTTGCCGGCTGCTTCTTCGACCAGTTTGTCGGTTTTTGCTTGTAAGTCTTCGACTTTTGTGTGCCATCAAACATAAATCATCCACGCGCGAGATCCAGGTCTTCTAGGTTCTTTCTTTCGAAAGTCCATTGTACTGGATAACGGTCTAAACCCAGATCTGCTCCACTCCTCGACTATGTGTCCGGTAGGCTCCGTCTCCACTTTCTTGAAATTGAAATGAAGGCTGTCTAGTTTTTGGTGTGTCCATTTGCTGAAAGCCATCTCGCCTTGTGTATATCCTTGTGTTTGAACATACTGTCACCAATCACCAAATCATTGAAGGCACAGAAATCTTAGAATATTTTGTTGATTTCACCGAGGGCATTCAAGTGGATAGGTTAAATAAATTGACGCGTCCTCATTCCACTGGGAAATTATCACATTGCTGACAATATGCACTTGATTTCTTCATATCTCAAGCAATCCTTATTTAATTACTAAAGAACTATCGACATTTTTTTCTCTGTGATAGGTTTTACTGTGGTCTGTGATCTTTGCTATCGTTTTCAAATCAACTGAATGGACACATGAGTTGATATCACTGGGTATTACGATTGCGATAACAATTTTGGCGGTCATTCTGAGTTGGAAACTATCACCATTGAATAGGAAGGGGTTTATCGTTTTCATTTCAATATCAATCGCCGTTGCCGTTTTGGCCATCATCGCAGTTATTTGTTATTACTTTCTTTGCAAACCAGGTGATTTAAAAGGAAAGGTAAATTCACATAGATAAATGGTGAATTATTATACACAGGCAACTCATGAAACAATATGAAATATCTGTCTTTGATTTCCTTGTTATTTCTCTTGTTGAGTATATCTCTAAATTGAATGTGGTATTATGAACCATAAGAACAAATACTTACAGCTTACTGGCGCTCACTTTAACAGAGATGTTGTCTACGCAATATATATGGATATCGATTTGTGTCGTTATAATTTGTTCAACTAAAGACAACATTCAAATGACATCATAACAACAACAACCAAAGATGTGACTGTAGTGTAAATACCTTCGGAACTTAGTCAGATTTCATTTCAGAAAGAGTTTTAAAATGACGAGCAAGCAAAATTGTTGAGTACGTGACTTACCTACATGTCATTCAGTATGTCACTAATAGCTGAGATTCTAAATTGCGAGATTTTTTGTGAGATGATGAATATTCATTACTGCGAGGACCCTGTTTATTGGCTTGGAAGTTACGGCAATTAGGTTGTCAAATAGCAGCAAACCTGAGTACTTTCGATTGTGAGTAACCAACTTTTCTACTTTTTTTCAATTTAGATAAGCTGCTTTGCGATGGTTGTTTTAATCGGTCTATTTATAATCATTGTAAGTTTTTGATTTTGTCTAATCACTGATAGCATTTTTTATTTATTTTTTTTGGTTACAGTTTTATTCTACACCGTATTTTATGATACAGGTATCGAATCTTCAGCATGTGATATCGGTAGCCCGAATTCCGCTGACCGACCATAGATATCATGTGTGCGTAGGCAGGGGATCGAACCACGACGAATTTAAAGATAAATAATACGTTGGACATTAGGTGTTTGATAGTAATTCACTGACAGCCTCAGTCTTTTAATTACTCAGATAATGCTTTGTTACTCTGAAGTTATGAGGTAACATATTTACGGCATGAATGACATATTTATGTTTGATTCCACACAGTTTTTTATGGTACAAGTATGAAATTTGCAGCACGTGACACTGGTAGCCCAAGTTCCTCATGTCGACCATTGATATCACGTGTGCGTTTGCAGATGATTGAACTGCAGACTATGTGCATGGTCGGTGAGAGTCCTAACCACTGTGCCACCCACTCACATAGAAAGTCAACTGAAAAAAAATACTGAACCAAAAAGAACATTCGAAACCCTAAGTTTTAAGGACAGTTAATCAAGAAGAATATGTGAATTATCATCAATGCGAAAATCCGCTGTAAGTGATTTTTATGGATGTAGTTCTGTTGTAGGTGTGGAAAATATTCACTGTAATTGCAGTTTGTGCAGGATTTCTTATCCTCTCGCTATTTATTCCGTCTGCGCTACTTCTCACAGCAACACCATCAACTTGACGGAAACAATCCCTTTCAAAATTTAAACCTAACATTGTTAGTACATAGAAGTAATAAGTCCCTTGAATAAGATATAGGGTACGGGATGAAATAATTGTTTGTGGAAATGTAATCACACAAAATGTCCATTGTTTGAGCAAAGGCACATCAATAAATACGAGTTTACATCAAAATAGTACATATTCTAATTCCTAATGATAATATCATTAAGAAAAATAACCAATTCAGATGTTTCTCCTCTTTAAGACATACTTACAGAATTGTGTTTTGACTGGATGAAATAATTCTACTAACCTCTTAGCAAGTTTATGCGTTGGGCATTTGCACGTTGACAATATAGGACGTAGAGGATCATTGGGTTTATGCATTTTTGGCAAACCACACATATGCGGGAATTTATCTCTACCTATAGCATTTAGGCTACAAGAGTTCCCTAGATTAGCTGTCACTGTGCCCTGCAACAACTAAACATCTTCTGAGGAGGGAAGGTACATTTGACTCTTTAAAACCATCAGAAGAGGGATATAACTGTTTATCTTTCCTAGACAAATTCCTTAGTTGACGGCTTGGTGGATCAATAAATAGATCTGTTAATAGAAAACCTACCTGGACAGGAGAGCATCTTAATTACTACAGTGTCTGCCCTCTTCGATGCAAAAAAGCATTAGCGGGTGAGGTGCTTATTCAGTAGAATACAATGAATATACACTGAAGACACACTTGATGAAGAAGAAAGAAAGTTGACACACACTCTGGTTGATAACAATTATCCAGACAAGTTAATCAGGAGATATAAATTAGTCAGAATAAGAAGACCCAATCTTCAACTCGCGCCTAAGAAATGCGTTTACAGCAAGCTACCCTATATAGAGCATCACAGCAGCTTGATAACTAGACAAAGGCTGAACGCTGCTGTTAAAAAGACTTTTTATGCAGCTTATATCATAATAATAGAAAATGTAAAGCCAATATATCTATCTAAGCCCTTCAACATGCGAAAAATGACGTCACATCCCAACGTATTAACCAATTGGAATGTACGTGTGGACACACATACATAGAAAGGACTCGTCGATCTCTACAAGTAAGGGCAAAACATATTATAGAGACAGCCTTTGTATTAAACGTGTGTTGGGGCGTATCTTGAAGTTTATGGAATCCCTAGCAATGAGAAAGTTTAAACCACCTTTATGCGTTCAAAAACTATTCGTCATCACGTTAAACTTTTACTGATAAATTTTGTTTTGATATAATAGTAGATGTACTATTATCTTGCTATTTAGCTTAGTGAACTTCATAGTTATTTTGACAGTCAGTTTGTCGTTTTAACTTGACTAAAGTCTAGTTTCTAATCTCTCTTTATTTTATATATATTCCTATGACAAGTCCGTGTGTGATCGGATTGTTCCAAATGTGTTGCTCAAATACATTACACGATTCTGGCAAATTACGTCTTCTTATTGATTTATCTAAACTCATAATCATGTTTCTATCTCTTTCTTACTTGACAGATCATGTTCACTTGTGTCAGTGTCCGTAAATGGCTGATGTGGTTGTTCGCACCTCAACCTACAGAGTTTATTCTGGCTGTCATGATTTGGTTTCTTATGCTAGGCTTCTTCACTGAAACGTATACTGGCATTGTATCATGCCTAAAGGAGTGCAAAAACAAAACAGATGAATGATATTTCTGAATATATCCATAATAACAGGTTAAATTATTCTTCTTTCTCCGGATTGTAGTTTGCTCTTTTGGTTACGTACATTTACAAATTTCGGTGTTTCGCAAAACGGAAATTGTTTAAACATCCAACACACAAACAGAGTAGAATAAACATATGTGAGTTCTTCTCATTCATCATTTTTACATGGTGCACACTAGATGAGTTAAGCGATTGAGCATTGTCTGGCAAATATAATTCTAATTTTAAGAATCTTTCAATCATTTCTGAGCACAAGGATTGTCTTTTCAACATTTAGAAGGTTCCCTTACGAAGACTGTTCGCATGTTTCATTCCTACAATGATTGCAATCATTCATTTTTCCGTCTACAATATTGTAACAATCCTCCATAGGGGTGAGTAATCCACATAATCAGTTGAGCAGGTTTAAAACATATAGATACGTGTCCTCTTACAATTTATTGAGAACCCAAAAATTAGAATGACTAATGTTATAATGGTTGCAACATTGAAAGATCACTTCCACATACACGAGATATTTCATGAATGACTTTCCTATGTTTCACCAGAACTGCAGGCAACCAGACGAGAATGTTATCTATCAGCCACTGAGAGATCACCCAGCGTAATCCTAACTTCTGTCATTCATCAATATGTAGCAACAACGCCAAAGTAATTTCATAGGTCCTCATCAGCAACTGGGCAGACGGTGTTGACCGCTAACTCTCACTCAGTTTTCAGGCAGCCTTATTTCAAACTTAGTCATTAGCCAGAAGATCACCGAACATTGGAACTAATGGGTCATTGAATTTGACTTCAGTGACTGAGTGATATGAGGTATGTTTTTGTAAACCAAAGGTCCTGCGTTCCACCATTCTGAAGGGATTTGCGTGAATAGCTCAGAACTCTCAGACGGGGACGAATTAGTCATCCGACACTCAAGGGTTTTCTGTAATGAGGTTGGTTTACAATTAAAATAAAAATAAGTGAAATACCTGCAAACCAAAACTTGGAAATCCTATGAGTAGTTTGCCAGTCTCACTGTGTACTCTTTTAATATCAGTGAAGCGAATGTAACAGAGTACTACACATTTCCTTACACATGAAAAAGATTTAAATTTGTAAACAGAAGAAAGATGTGGAACGATGAAACCATTATCATATATATTCCAGCTGCATACGTATATTCACGTGAATATCTACCTTTTAACCCAAAACAAAAGTAGTGATAGTAGATAGATGGAAATCCTTCTGATGTTTATGTCATTGATTGAAATTTACCACAATATAGCGCTTAACATACAATAAATACATTATTTATTTCTTGAATTCAGTTTACAACCCGAACAGGATAAAATGTTTCAACTTGATTAAGAAAAACTGGTCAGACACATAAGTAATGGAAGTCTGTATTGATGTTAACTGGTTAATTATCAGGAAAAAATTGAAACGACTGCCGCATAGTTCGAATCTAACTGGGACTAAACCCACCAGTCGATGAAAATACAGGTAATATTTGGTTGATTAGTTTAACAAGAGGTGCATTGCACGTCCTATATTTCACTGCTAATCATAGCCAATCACAATAACTGTCAGATGAATCGTAAAACCGCGTCGAAGCATTTTTAGCAAGGTTGACATGCCAAAGGAGACCTAATAATTCGTCTAACATTGTCAATTTGTTTAAGCATCAAAATAGCCTTTTACTATAAGAGTTATAAACGATGAGAGTGACATTAAAAGAAGGAGCAAAGGCGATTGGTGTTTAGATGAAAACAAAATAATACTCTGACCAAAATCGAAGTTGTAAGAGAAAACTTAAGGTAATTCTGCTTTTTAAGTTTAACTTTCAGGGTGGTGAGACGTTCACTATTGTTGCTTTCTGTATACCTTTAATAGTTTCAAGCATTCATTTCAGCAGAGGGTAAGGAGAAGTTCATTTAAATGCAATGCGTAAATTCAGATGAATCATAAAGCTTCATTAATAAATTATTATTCCATTGATGTTATCACAGAGGAACCGCAGTTTTATAAACATTTTTTTGAGACTGGTATTACAGTTATATTGAACGAATAAGGAGAACCATTTTTTCGAAGTAATTTTGTAATAATCCCATGTTTCCTATTCATGGAGTCGTTTGAACAGATTATCGCATCTCTGTAAACCAGACAAGTCACCAGGTTACGTTTGTATTTCAAAGATGCAAAACTCAAAAAATGGGTATACTGACCTGTTGTTGTAGGTTTCGTACACATACTCTTTCTCAGTGTATCATCGTTCCTGTCCAGAGATGAGATAATGTCATTTGAATCTCTACGTTGAAGCTTATTGCTGAAAGTGTTTCATTTAACTTGTCGAGGATGATCATCGCATTTCAACATTCGGTTGAACTCTGCTACGAAAGTTTTCCAACATGACTTAAGATATTAGTCTTTTTCGGTGCCCTTAATAATAAAGTTTAAAGAAGTTCTCGTTTTACTGAGCCTTGCGTTTAAATTCAGATACTCATTGAGCACCTTTCGTGCATACTATTGCTCCTAAGATTTCGATAGAGAAAAAATATCCTCACTTGAGTTTTTAGGAAACAAAAGGATTGAGGGGAGACGTATTTGACTTGCAATATGATTCTCACCTCTAGCCCTAATCTACTGACTAATTACTGTTAGAAAACACATTTTCACGTCATTGGTAAAATGTGCAATGTTAAAGAAATGTTTAACTTATTATAGTAATATGAGAGGTGGTGAAATAGTAAATATTACTTCACCCTATCTGATTGCTCTCCAATTTTCGAAATAGTTTTTTCTATATGGATTATACATTGGAATGCATTCTGCTAACATCTGGTTATCCTTGGATATGAGTCGGCTCTGGCCACATGCATGATGTTATTATTGTTGTTCTCGGGCACACGTGTACCACTATGACAACCAGAAACTAATGTTTTCTCCGTCCGATGAATAAATACATTTTCATTGTTAAGATATCAACAAATTGAATCTCTCCATTATTTAATCAAAACGAGACTCTTTTTTTAGCAATAAATTGCTTTCAATGACCACTTCAGGCTCTGCAGTTATAAGCCCATGAAGAATATAATGCAAGAAAGCTGTTAAAACGAGTGAATCTGCGTCGGGGTCCATGTATAAGGTAAACTTGTGGTTCACTAGGTAAAAATATTAACGGAATGCAACTAAACTGAACAGTCATTTGGAAAATAAGATAAACTGTGAATAGTGCTTTGCCATGGAACAGCTACCCGCCTAGGACGTCAGCTGTTGGTAGCAATTGGAATTATTTAGCCACTGGATCGTGTTGCAGAGGTTAAATGATCCAGCGGAAGCTCCTGGGTACGAATGCTGGTGTATGAGTACTGGTGAAATTTTATCAAGCAAAGCAGAAACAGATGTCCAGTACTTCCAGATCTCCTGATTTTTCTGTAACAGATTTTATCACGAGATGAAACCTGTGACCAAAATATGATCAGACAACTCAGTGACATAAATGTATATGAATATTTAATAAAAAACAAGTTAGCTTGTGATCAAGCTGAGTTTTTAATGATGCTAGAGAAATAGAAATACTAAAAAAATGCATTCAAAGAAATGAGACAAAGTGAAGGCAATTTCGAAAATTGAAAGATAACAATTATAATGATAGAATGAAGTAGTCAGTAGTATGGTTCGTGAATCGTAGTCAAATTCTAGAGACATTATGAGGTCAGTGTGAATTGCGAAGGTTGAAAGATAATAGGATTACAAATGTTCAGACAAGATACAGTCCCCATTATGAAAATTCATCAATAATCTCGTTTTCGTGAGAATTAGACTTCTGCAAGTTTTGTGTAAAGTCTTCGCTAGAGGCATTTTAGCCAAAGTATGAAGTGAATGTTATTGATTTCAGGAGGATTTCTGCCGCAGATTTAAACACTCGACATGTCTCACAACCGGTATTATAAGTAGTTTATAAGACTCATAATTAAAAATAAAAATAATCCTATTATTATATACTAATTTTAAATGAAAGCATGATACTTGCTAGATTTGTTGAAAAGATGAATCGTTCCGCTTGAAGGAAGGCCTGACAGAAGATGACACCCTATGCTTTCTCTGAGTGTGACCGATCCAACTGCATATTCTTCTACGTTTCTGGCTTGTATAGAAGAAGTGACTCAGCTTCAGTGTTGAAAATCAAAATTTGGTTCTTGAGGGTGGGTGTAGATAATTTCCAATTTGATTTCATATAAACTATATTTGTAATTATTTATCGTATTTTCACTACGCTATGTATCATTATTGAAGGTCAAAAACAACATGTAATATGTAAATGGCAAATTATTTGCTCTTGTCCTCGTTTAATCTTTAATTGTGACGCTTGTCTTTGTGATTACACGTACACTGTTGGTTTGTTGTATAGTGATATGAGGTTTTTTTTACATTGAATAAAGGATGGATTTCTCTGGTAATTATATTCCTATGACAGATTAATTTTTGATTACATGAGTAAGATTTCAGCCGTTTCTACAGCAATAGCATTAGCAGACAGCAAATAGCTTTGAATGATTCGTCTGATAATGATTTCAAATGCTTCCAGAGTGTCTATTTTCTGTCGTGGTCTGCCAGCTGTTTAGTTATTGACAAGTTTGAATTACTCAGATTCTTTGAGAAATGTTCAAAAGAATATGACACAGGCCCATCTTTCTGTTTTCCTAATGTCACTATCACTATAGTTACGCCTGACTTGATAAACACTGTTAGAAATAACGTGAGAGAATTCCCCACCTGTATTTGACAATACCAGTGAGCGGTTTACACGGAGTCAAGGGACTAATTGAATTAGGATATATCTCATGTTGACTGCAAATACACTTATATTCTTCTATTGAATATTCCTGTATGCAAGTGACCATTGTCCTGGAGGCACTTCATAACTGACGTGAGTTCATTTGGCGTCTTCACCAGCGTCCAGTTATATCTAACTGAGAAGAAACTGTTTGACATAAGAGATCAGTTTAGCTATCTTTGTGATAATTCCTTTTTGACAGTGTCCAGTCATTTTAATCTCTATGAGTCGATTTACAAAAGTTAAAAATAATAATTTGAGATAACTTTATCCTCCTGGTTTTCTGTGTCTTTATGACTATCTTTCAGCATTGCTTACCGGAAAACCGATTCATGATGGAAAACGCAATATGTGTAAAAGTTGTATTCCAACTTATATTAATAAATGCTATGGTTTGTATGCGGTTGATGAAAACTAATGCAATTTAGTGGATGCATCTTATTCTTCACTATTCTTTGTTCTTTTTCAGTTTTAAGTCAAGTTCATGTATGAGTATATCACGATGAATGTTCATTTCTCTCTAGATGCAAGCAACAAAAAATAGTTTGATGAAACATTAAATCCGTGATATAATGAAAGATTAACTGACTTGATATTGTCTACAGTAGAAGTTTGTGCATGTAGACGAAGAGGAGAATGCATTCGAATCTACAGACATACGCAGTTTTAATGGAAACCTGGGCTAAGACATATACAGTGAGTAGTGATTGAGATAACAATACTGGACTGAACATCATAAGGTGAAGACCTTAAATTTCACAACACAAGCTTCATAAGGTCTCGAAGAAATCCACCAAAATAGACAGTTCATGATAATTAGTTTATTAGACCACGTTGTCAACATAAGTATCAATTCAGATGTTAAATGAAAGGCATAAACTTAACTGGGATTATGTATGTCTATATGAAGCTTCTCTTTATTTGTGTTGCGATTTACTGAGCTTTGTCAAACATATTTGTTGATAACAACTGCTTCAACGCAATCACTTTCTCACGTCCAACAACATTTTAGAGAATGATATCAAATCTTATATAAGATAAGAATCTTTACCGTAAATTATTCGTTCTGTATATTCAAAATCCAGAGTTAGGTTTCAGCAGTAGGTCTTCACTGCACCTACAATTACATTCATATGGTGGTATCAGTATCCATAGATTTCCATTTCTTCTTCCCATTATAATGCTTTGTTATCAGTATAAAACTTAGGCACTGTGGTAGAGTTGTTTTTCCATTGTGTTCCTAGTGAAAGATAAGCCTTCATCCGCACACCCCTATTTTATCTCATTTTCTGCTGACCACTTTAGCTTTGTCACAGATTTCCCGATTTCCTCCGTATCACATTTTTACGATTCAATCGCATTTTCCCACTACTTCTTCTTCAGTGATGGCCTGGTACGCGATGTCATTCTACGATCTTCTCACTGTGTCCCCCACCATTCTCCAGTTTTTTTCTCACTGGTGAACTCACATTTGTAATTAAAATCCGAATCTTGTTCTTTATGCTGACTGAAGAAAATTCCCGAACAAGTTTCAAATCGATAAACGTGTATCCTGACTTTCTGATTCTATCTTTGATATCTTCATATGCTGCACATGTTGTTGAAACAATGAATCACGGATAAGTGAAAGAAGCTACCCGTTTAGGTTTCCCTCATTGATGGTGATTGGTTCTGTTTACGGTTTCTGTTTTTTGGTTATCTCGTCATCTCCGTCTTTGATGTCTTCACCTAGAATCGTGTCTTAACTTCTTCATCAGCCACTTTGCCACTTTTCGCCTGCAAGTAATGGGATTTGTGTGACGTTAAATATGAAGCATCAACTGGCGTAATGCAGATCATCTGGAGTCTTCTTATCGATCCAGAACATTCTTGTCTTCGCAGTCTCATGCGCAGTTTGACTCATAATCCAGTCAACTACAGTTAGTAACACCATCGGTGAGAACATGCTGGTAACCATGTCTTACTACTGTGTGTACTTCGAAAGCCTCTCTGAGTTTTCTGTCACTGGTCACCTGATACGTGGCATTGTCATGTAACCAGCTGATTGATGAAGTTGGACACTGTTTGCCACAGTGGTTAAGCAGTTTCCAAATAACTTCTCAGTCAGTGCTGTCGAAGAGCCTATCAAGGTCTATGAAGTTGAGGTACAGGTGTGACTGCAGTCCTATATACTACTCAATGATCATGCCTAGGGTTACAGCTTGATCAGCATATGATTTGCCAATCCTAAATCCAGCATTTTTTGTGATGGTGGAGTTCTGCATCTAATGCATCCTTTTTTCTCATGGATGACGCGAACCAGTATTTTTCCTTGGTGTATATAAGTGCATTATTCTACGCCATTTCTTCCAGAAGGTTGAGTAGTTCTTCTTTGGTTGTTTGGGAAAGTAGCCTTTCTTCCAATCTGTAGGCAGATTTACTTTTATTTTAAACCTCATGTTAAACTCGCGTTAGAACATATTGTGCAGTCTCTGGGTCCATTTTCAGAGGTTTCAGCGAACTCTGTCTGGCTATGCTGCTTTCCAAGATGGACTTCAGTAGCTTGATTGCCTTTAAAGTTTCTTTTTGCTTTAGGGAACTGATGTCCACATGCGCTGCTGTGCGTGTTGTAAGTGATGTTGCTGGGTGAGCTGCAGGTGAACTGTTTATGCATGTGGGTTACGTTTGACTCGATGTGATACTTTTTAATACTCATAATCAGAGACGTGCTGCTTAACTGATCCAGGATCAAATTGTCAGAATACACTCAACGATGACTTCGCTGAGCTTCAACAGATCTAGAGTAATTAAAAGGTTATTTGTTCTGGAATTCAACTCTATGTGAATTAGGAATACTAATGACGAAGATTCTTGAACTCGAAAGGCAGTCGTCCTTGTGATTGTTGGATGGAATAATGAGACAATCAGTTTCCTCTACATTTGTCATAACTCCATTAAAAAGTCGCATTTCGTAAATGAATTTAAATGAGATAAAAATAATTTCAATGAAGATGTGCGTCGGCGGCACAGTGGTTAGGACTCTCGCCGACCATGCACATAGTCCGAGGTTCCATCCCCTGCCGACACACACCTGATATCTATGGTCGGCCTGCGAAATTTGAGCTACCAATATCACATGCTGAAAATTCCATACTTGTACCAAAAATACGGTCTGGAATTAGGCTGTAATCAAAAAAAGTTCAACAGCTGTGCATGGAAAAATACAAAATAGTGTTAGTCATCTAGTATATGCCAAGTGCTACTGAAATTTAAGGTAGACATTTGAGAACAACCGAACAACGTTTTAATCTAAGTAAATGGTATCAGCTGAGTATTTAGTGTTATACGATTCTGTTAATCAATAAATTGGCCGCAGTCTGAGTATGCCAGCTATTTTTTAAAATTAAAGTTCCTCTGAAGGATTTGAGAGGCTAGTTGCAGACGTAGTCCAGAAGTGCATCACATTTCAGAAGGATCGTTTTATTTGATGTTTTTAGTTACGCGATTATTATAACAAAATTACTTCCCTGTAATTTCCGATTCATTCACATTGTCTTTCTGTATTTAAAACGTTGATCATTCACCGTGAATACTTTCCTCACTAATCACGTGAACTTTAGGTCTCATAAGAAAATTAATAGTTGCAAAAGTTATCATGATTTAGTCGACGAAGTAATATAACACATTCTTACAATAGCCATCAGAACATATTTACACTAGCATCATGTCCTTCGACTGAGTCACTCCAGGAATAGCTCTTATGCGCATACCTTCACAGATGACATTTAAGTGATCTGTTAGCAAAATAAAATGGTTGAGCATACGAGCTATACGCTGGCTTGTATTGTTGAATAAGGGAGCGATTCGAGATAGTAAGTAACTAGGATTACTGGCAAGCATCAAACAAAGAATCTATTGTTCAACAAAAAAATACCGAAAAAAGTGCAGTTAGATTGAACAGAGGCTGAGGAGGCCGTTGAGCAGCATAGATGGGCTGATCTTTGTTCTCGTGAGACCTCAGGGGGAAAAGCCAACTTTGGCGTCTTTAACGATAAGTTTGCTGTTCAGTAGAGTTATAGTGCTTGCTCAAAACGTCCCTGAACACACAGCTCATTATTGTTACTTCGAATGCTAAGATTTGAAGCAAGATTTTGAAAGCGAATATAATGTTTACTGGTAAGGGTTGATGAGTATCGACACATTACCTTCAAAGTTTGAGGTTTTAAGTTCTCTATATCATTGACTGCAAAAATAACAGTTTCCATCAGGCATCACTTTCTATTACGTACTTATACCGCAAGAGTTAAATTCAAAAACATCACTTCAATATTTCACACTTCATGACAACTTTGAAAGGTGCTGAATGTCTTCAAAGTTCACGAAAAGCTACAGTGTCATCGTACAATATCTATGTCATATACTGCATGCTTCATAGGTGCACATATAGGAAAAAATTCATATGAAGTCACTTCAGTTATGAAACTTAATTCATACATGTTCCTTTTGTTTTCTCCATCCTTCGACTGACTGAAATTCATATTTAGCATGTTATGGATTGACAAGTCGACTAAGTGTTCACCTTAAAGGATATTTCAGACACATCAGCTAGACGTTTTCAACAGAATGTGAGTGAACAAAAACTGGAATTGATCCAAATTTATAAATATTTATTTATCAGCAGTGACACATACTAAGAAGAATTCTTTTTATAAAGCTCTTTTAGGATCATAAAAGGGAGCATACATTGCTGTAAACATAATGATCATTTCCAACCACAAGCAGAACGCTCGAAATATTATTGTGCAATAAACGTCTTTAAATGCGATGCAAAGTCTCAATCTATTCACTGTCAAGAAAATAGCCTGTAATGTAAGAAAATAAGGCAATATCAAATCAGTTATCAAGTCTGGTTAAAACAGTATATATTTAAATTACAACAGAAGTGAGTCAGCCACAAGTATTTCACCATGTGAACTACGTCATACACCTATGCTTCATAAAAGTAAACTGATTGTTCACCTTCCGGGTGAAAGCTTTCATCATTATCAAGTGTTGAATATACTCAAATCATCCATTTTCTTCCAATGAGATTGCCAAGTGTTAATTTCAGAAATCAACAGCCAACCTGATGTTGGTTTATTGATGACGAATTCTGATTCGAAGTCAGTCCTATTTGAAGTAACGATGCAATATAGATTATTACCTCAATAATGATTCTACGTTATCTGTTCATCGAATGAATGACTCATGGAATACTAATTTGCGAGCACGCATACTGTTGTATAGATCTGAGGAAAACGTAGTTTGTTTTATACATCGGCAGTGCGCTATGCAAACATATTCTCATTTAGAAATGTCATGATGGAACAATGGAATCGTTCATAAATTTTGAACTTGACTGCATATGTGGAATATTCAGAAAACAAGAATGAAGTGAATTCTATCTGAATCACATACTTAACTGTTCTTGCTTAAGAGCGAATTGGTAAACACGTGTAAGTTGAATCATTAGGTTCATTGCATTTTCTTTGATTGGTTTGTAAGGATTAAGTTTGTTTCGATGGGTTGATCACTTATAGAAAAGTAAGGGGTACTGGACAGCTACTTCATTCTAGTTTGTTAATTATCGGCAGTAAGCATCAACTTAGGTTTGAACCCAGGACCTTCGGTTCACAAAACAAGGTCGTATAGCACCTATCCACTGGGACCTAATTCAACGGCCCATAAATTGTAACTTCTACCAATTCTTGATTTAGCGTGACAACTTACTAATGTAATCGGTTGAACATCCACCCTCACACGTCACATCTGGATGGACCTCACTGATCATCTAAGAATATACTGCAAGGAACTTACTAGCATCATGGCGAGTATGAAGCAAACCCCGGTAGAAATATTCAATGCCTTCTGAAAACATGAAATGTAAATAGAGTAAAAATGGAATAAATCGAAGTTGTAGGTTTTCTTATCTTAAGAATAATATTTGATAAGTGAAATTTTTGATAAATCAACCATGAATGCATGGCTATGACTAATGCACCCAACAAACATGTGCCTGAAATTACTTAGTCTCAACGTTCTTTGCAAATCATATCAAATAACAATTAACAACCAACACTTGAATACCAATGAGATGCTCACTGGCCCTATTCAGGTAGGTAGTTACCTGGGTTCCGGTGGGAAGTCGTGACCAGTAGGGTGCAGCTGGTCGGGTGTGAGGACAAATACTCGCCGAAGACATTGGCTAGCGGTCGCGCTATGTCGTGAATTCGCAGAAGATAGAATTCAAGGACCATTGGATTGGGTGTCAGTGGCCTAATGGTATACGAGCTCGCCTTGTAACCGGAAGGTCCTGGGTTCGAATCCCGGTGGGTGCGTACTGCTGAAGAGTCCCAAACTAGAACGAAACAGCTTTCCAGTACTCCCAGGTTTTTCAATGGTTATCTAACTAATGTCAGCTCATGATGAAATCCTGAAACCAATCAAATCCCTGCAAACCAACACTTGATTTAACAACCCATTAGTTGGTATGTTTCAAATATTTCAGTAAAGCTAACACGTAATGCATTCTAAGGTGTCTGATAGAATATCACAATTGATGAACATAAAAAACCTGAACATATCTTGGTAATTGCTGTGAATACCACCACATTGTGTGAAGGTGATTTCAACGTGAAAAATAAAGTTTAGAAGTGTGATTTATTTATTTGATTACAGCTTGATTCCACACTGTATTTTTGGTACAAGTATGGGATTTTCAGCATGGATATCGGTCTGACAGATAACATTTAGTAACCTGATAATAATATCTATCGGTGGTGCATTCCTAACGTCCGAATTACTTAACTTCCTGTGAGATATTCTTTTATATCCATCTGTCAGTGTTATAGCATCTCACATTCCATGCATATGTCACAAATCAAATCAAACGTTTCAAAAGACGTGATAGAGCTCACCTGTTTGCCAGTTCCCTGTGATGTGAATTCAATAATGAACAAAATAAGTCCAATCAGGACCGAAGAATACAAAAGTGAGAAAAATGTAATGGTTATTCGAAAATCTAAATCCCTGAAATACAGAGCTAGAATGATTACAACTGCAGTTAGTGCAACTGTTGAACCAAGTGCTGCCAAAGCAACCACCCAATCAATAGCATTTAACCTGGTTGCAAAACCCATCGAACATAGTACGAACTAAAATAAAAGAAAGAGTTTGCATTGGTAAATTATGCAAATAAGTTACAAATATATAGCAGAGAAATATTTATTGATTTTGTAGATTGCATTATTACATGTAAGTTCTTTATTGAGGTGTAAGTTTAGTTTGGAACAAAACATTTTAGTGAACAATACTGTTTTTTATTAGATCTCATCGGGTCTAAAATATAAATCAAATATAAATCAATCATGGTGTTCTGTCTATAGGATAATAAGATGGTGAATATAAATTTTGCAATTAGTCACAATAGTAGGAATGATAATAATAATAATAATGGTCTTATCAATAATAAAGATGAAAAAGTGAGGCAATCGTTGATAACACGAATAATGAAAAACAGCATGATCAAACAAACAAATGTACAGATGAGGTAATCGATAAAGGCTAGTAAAAACAAATGAACCGATTAAGTAATGCTAGACTGATTTTAAGGGAAGTAAACGAAACACGTTTTCAACGAAGAAGTGATAAGCTTAGGGGATGATAAGAAAGCAGTTGAAAATATAATTAAGGGGTTATATCTTAATAGACCAAAGGGAGGGATAATAGGCTATACGAACTTATTTTGAATGCATAGTTTACGTTTCATAGTTCGAATGCATATCGCCTCAGCTGTGTGCAGTAGACGTTTCTCATTTACATCTATGACTTCTCTTTGTTACAGCTTAAAGTTTTCCAGCTTGGATATCGAACAATAGAGTTTCGTTCAGAGGAGAATTACTTCCTTTTTAAACGAATTCATACGAACTTAGTCGTATTTCTATGAAGAAAAGATGCCAATAGGCGCCTCTAGAAATTGTTCAGTCAATAAACATATGGTAAGCACTAGAATAATAAAAATGATGTAAGAGGTAGGTGGAATTAAAGTGGAATAATCACAGAGTTTTCAAATATTATTACAAAAGTGAATTCGTATTCAGACTTTTCAAGTACTTCAAGTGTTGTCTAAAACTCAAGAGTATACGAAGTAAAGTGATATAATTGAAGTGGTGAAATATAGTAAAATAAAAGAACACTGCTATAACCAAGTTGACAAAAAGTATTTGGCATATGTTTGAACACGCATATGAGGTTTATGTTCAAATATAGCTATGCACAAGTACAAGAATCGCAGGCTTCTACAGTGGTTGTATCTGGTCGTGTAAGCAACTTGGAAAGGTAAATCGCATGGAGCTGAGAGAGGTGAGTCTATACGTTGCACACAAATTCAAGAATTTATCATCCTGTGTTCAGCTTTCAATAATTAAAAAGAGCAGTGTTCTACTACCTGTCTATGAAGAACACTCTTGCATTGTCCAGTGTAATAAGTCCACATGAGCTTGCAAAAGTGAACATGTAAATAGAGATGTACAAAAGCGGTAGTTTATCTTTTGAAGATTTGTCCAATCAAAATTCGACCGGTAAATACCAAGTGTAAGTAAGCTACATAAGAAGAGCGTTTAAAACAATTAGATGAACACCTTTTGTTCATTTCAGCACCCACGTTAATAGGGTCTTCACTGGCACCATGAGGACAGCTCAAGTTTTTATGTTTCTGTCAATAACCCTCCTAGGATATCTCTTAATTCTAAGAATTTTAAGAAAAATTCCGGTTTCATTATCAACTGAATCGACACTGCAGATTTCCGAATTCTGAAACGTAGAGGATGGATAGGATTTCTCTTTCTGCCTAGTGGTACCTGACTGTTGAAATCGATGAACTGCCTTGTAGAGGCTGTCTTTCCGTAAATTTCGTCTATCTGGTTTGACACATAAGAAGTGAACTGTGGAACTCAACTCTTCGTCCGTAGTAAGAAGCATATGTGTTGCGTAATGGAGCAGAGTGGATGTCACGGTTTAAAGGTTGATTTACAGACTGCATAGCTAAAAATCAAGTCATTTGACATAAATATATTTATTTATGGAGCAAAACCGTGTTTTACCTTACAGCTCTGATATGGCGCATATATGGTGATATGAAAAGTTGACGAAAAAATCGTTATTCCATTTAGCACAGTTATCCGGTTAAATTGCTGATCTGAAAATGACTTTAAAGAAATCAACCATGGGCAGTTTTCCTGTTTCTCTGCTTCTGAATACCAGTGGAAATAGGTTCTGTAGCTCAAAACGTGTTCGAATAATGTCAAAGTTGAAATGTTCACATCAGTGCCGTGAAATGTTATGCACCACAATAACTATGTTATGTGTCATTTGTATATTAGCTCTCTTCAAGCAATCTGTTAAGCTGTCCTACACCCAAAATTGTAACAAGTACCCGACTTGAATTCTTATACCTGTGATACTGTTCAGATTGCTCTAAATCTTGTCTTATTTTCTGTGATTGACCTTTAACTCAAAACAAGTTTGGATTTAACAGCTGAATAAATGCGTAGGCGACCAAAGGTGGACAGAATGCTGTTGATGTGATCAAAATATCAAGGTTACATGTTTCTCATAACACTATGTGGTATTCACCCAGTTGCATGATACACTGTGTTCAAAAAATGTCGATAGGTGTGCTGTCTTTGAAATTGTCAAAATGTGTGATTTATATTTCTAACTCACACAGCTCTCACTCCACTTTACACACGCAGACACATCAACGAATTTGTGCTGAGTTGCTTCGTTTTGTGTATGATGCCTTTAAATAATATTTTAGATTTTAATAAAATATGAGTAATAATTATAATGGTCGTAGTGTTGATGATAATAACAGTAATAATAACAATGAAAACACACATGACAAATCTGTACAGGAATTTGAATCATCATTAGTACTTCCATACAAACAAGAAACCTTGAAAAGTCTTAGGGTGATTTTTAACCTTGCAGGGATAAAATGACATTCAAACTAGAAAATTCAATCAGAGAGTAACTTTGTCAGTTGAAGGATCCCATGGAGTCGGTTTAACAAAACAATTTAGCTAATCTAATATACTGCAGTGACTCCCAGATCAAATACTTAGGTCAGAATAGTGGAAGAAGGTCAGTGGAGCAATCGGAGGAGGCTTGGAAAAATCCAGACTAGACGACTCAAATAAGAAACGGAATCTAGAAAATAGTTCAGCTATTGAGCTATGTGCAATTACAAAAATTTAACAGTGTGTTTTGATTTTTTTGATAACAACTTGATTCCTCACTGTATTTTTGGTACAAGCATGAAATTTTCAGCACGGATATGGGTAGCTCAAATTTTGCCGGCCGACCATACATATCAGGTGTGCGTCGGCAGGGGATCGAACCTCGGCCCATGTGCATGGTCGGCGAGAGTCCTAACCACTGTGCCACCGATGCCACGATAAGATGATATTAAGAAAACATAACCTGATAGTGTGAACTAGGAGAATAATAACTGTATATCAAATCAGCTGAAAGTACGTGTAATGGGAGTAATTTGATTATTTACCATGGGTTGTTTTAGACACGTCATGCAGTAAATATGACTGTTTCAATTTGTGATATATCTTATAAAAAATTATATGCAATAAGTAACAGGTAAATGACTTTTGTCTCTAACCCACAATTATAAGTAAAATCAAAGGAATAAAACACTCACACTGAATACTATGAAAAAGTGATCAACGTCGCGGCGATATCCAAGTAGTTTGAGCAGTGCGAGAATGAGGACCGGAAGTGCTCCAAGTAATCTGGAATGAATAATTTTCGTAGATGGGTTTATAAACGCGGTGTCTGCAGTGTCCTACTTAAAATTTAGCATAAAATTATACAAAGAGTGATAAATATCCGTTGAAAGTTGCCCGGACATTCATTCAAACAGAATTTTGTCATATTTGCAAAAGGTTTTATTCCGAAATCGAATAGTGTGGCTCTGTTGCAATTTCATGGATTCATATCCATGAATGATATCGGACGAACAAAAAGTGAATGCGAATTCAACCAAATCAATGAATTTTAGAATATTCACATATTCTTTGATGCAAATACTTCCTGAAATCAACATGCAGACAGGGAATAAAGTCAGTTCAAACAAAGCAAATGTCTGGAGGAAGAATTTTTTCACAGAATCTATTGCCGACGGACTGGTGAGCCATGAAACCTACGATGTAAAACCAACGACGTGTATAGCATCCACATAGACATATTTAGTGAAAACATTATAGAAATGACTTACATAAGAAGAACTGTCACCCAGTTGTGCTCTTGAAGCCACTCAGAAAGTTCCGCACTGCGCCAAGAGTTGAATTAGTCTATCAAAGTGATGAGGAAATCCGGTCTTACATTGTGTTCACCATGACAACCATGGTCACTGTCACTAGAAGCATCAACATTGTATCGATTATCATCTGTGTGAGACACATTTAGCTAAAGAGGGAAACTTCTCACCCATATGAAGAAGTGGAAAAGGCTACCTGGCCTGAGGCCTAGACTTAAATTGTTCAAACGGGGAATCGCACAGTTTGATTTGACATTTTGTTATCTATGAAATAATGAGCAAAGCACAACATTTTGAAAATAAAAGCAATGTCAAAATAATATTCTGTTTCCACTTGGCAATCCTCTGCTGATCTATGTGACTTTATTGTCTAATATATATCACCTTTATTCGCTTTCAGTATTGGTTGTGGGATTAGCTTGAGCATTCAATATTATCAACTGGAAATTCTACTCTGGTTACTCAGATTAAAACCACGAGCATACTGATTGCGTGGCTATAATAACTTCAACATTACTATACAAAGATTCAATGCAGTGGAGACCGATCTCCTCCAGAATTACAACAGCAAGATTTGACTGAAACGAAGGAAGGTTACAGTTATCCGATTGTACACATTTCAAACGACTGATAACAGACGAAGAAGGAAAATGACAGCAAAAAGAAAATGACGACATTCAAATGGAGATATCACAATCTTAGAACGGGATATAAATGCCAAGCCATAGATAAAGAAGAGTTCAGAGAAATGAATGACAATGGAGAACGCTTCAGGGAATTCTGAGCCTTCAATTATTCGCTGATTGGAAGTAGTGCGTACAAGCAAAATGATATATACAAAACGACATAAATATCATCTGACAGACACACCAAAACAGATAGGATTAACTGAATGGTATGAAGACGCAGTATGCGTGATACTGATTCACAAAGGACGCAGATCATTTGTTGGTTTTAGGGCCCATCAAAGACAAGCTGAAAGGCTTCACAATAACGGCAGACATACCGAAACTAAATTAGGCATTAGAAAGGGAAAGGATGAAGCTGCGTGCGACATTGAACCTTCGTTATCATACCTAATTGAGAGACACTATGCGGCATCACTGCGGAGACCTGAATGGATAAACAAGGAAGTTATCTGAAGCTGACTTTCACCAAAACAATAGAGTAAGAAGCAAGACAGAACTTCGACTGGACGCAGGAGTGGTGGGATAGTTAAGATAACGAATCAAAGAAAACCAGCACAAATCAGTATCAATGGTGTATATTTGGATTAGATCACTTCTCGCACGTTTCTACACAGCAGCATGAATCAAGATTTCGAAGATGCGAATTTCACTCACTAAAACACTGAAAGTGACAATAAAACTGTCGCTCACAACTCACTTATCGCTCTTTTAATCTTCGTATTCTAATGAATAAACGGATCAATGAACATTTATATAGTATTGGTTAGTTAATATTTTGGTTTGTGTTTTTTGTTAAGCATACTTGAACCTTGATCGTGACACAGAATCACATAAAATTTGTTTGATTTTTATGGTCGATATGAGAGTTTCAGTAATAGTTAATGAAGTGGACTTTCACGAGATATAACTAACAATTGATTATTTTTTTAAATTGAACTTACCCCCCTCTCCAAATAGAGACTATTTGATGGCTTCAGCCCCATCTCGACAATACATATATTACTTACATGACTTTTCTTTTCGAACATCATCCTTGTGCAACTCAACCGTTTGAATTTTCAAAGGACAAAAAGTGGTGGGTTGCGATATAACAGTTTTTGCAAGTAATGTATGAGAGATCCATCGCAAACAAGTCGCTTATGAGATTGGGTAATTCGCCTCAAGTTTTTTTTGAATAGTTATTCAGACCTCGTCTGCACCTCTTCAGGGATACTGGAAAGCAATGGGGATTAATTTCTTAGGTAGGAAGGAATGGAGATGGATCGGCCATACGCTGAGGAAACCATTAAGTGACATCACCAGACAAGCCATTGCTCAAGTAGAACCCGAAAGGGAAGCGGCGAGTTGGTCGTCACTGTGAGGGTGATTTGGAGGAGGTCATGTGAGGAGGAGATGAAAGCATGTGGGCAGTCTTGGAGCGGGGTGAAAAAGCTGGCAGAGAACCAAGACAATGGATACGCGCAGCTGTAACCCTATATTCCTCTCAGAATTAAAGGATATAATGATATTAATGGTGATTAATTTAATAATAAATTTGAAAAATGCTCATGAATAGTTATCATGTGTATTTCCGAAAAATTAAACAAAACGATGATATTGATTATTACAAAATTGCTAGCTGGATAGCAGCATAGTTTAAAGGTGGGTTATTTTCGATTAACTAGAACCTCACAGGTATGAAATATTTAGACGGTATTATTTTGGTCGATACCGTCTTCTTGCATGCATTCTCTCATTAAGTTTCGTTGATAAAGTCAATTAGTACCAATGGGATAGAAAGATACTGGTTTCTGTTGTTCGTTTGGTATGGGACATACTACTGGCAGGAACATCAACGCTTATTTCATAATGCGCTCATTCTCGTACAGGAATGTGTACCATCGGAGAGTTTCACTTTAAGCACTTCATTTTATTGGATTTGGATGGTCCACCTGAAATACGCGCCATACTCCTGCATCCAGTGAATCAGAAGAATTGATTGTAGTCAAAGCCTGATATTCCTAGACACCACTGATATGCAAACTGGCCTTTGTAAAATAAAGCCCCACGCAATTTCTAGATTTTACACAAATTCTGTCATATCAACATTTTTAAATAATATACATTTTTATTGCACAAGTTGATCCAAAACGTTATTCGCATTCAGATTGATAATCACTTTAAGTGATTTTGTTTTGGACAACTTGAGATGTAAACATGAGCGAAGAATCAAAGGTATGTAAAAACGTTCAAAAGTCTGCAATCACAGAATAGAATTCTTGGAATTACCTCTGTAATCGAATGCCTTCGAAAAGTAATCATATTATTTTATTATTGAAAGTGTAACATACGTGGAAATCCAGTACGTCGTTTTCCCATGCGCACTGACTTTGGTGACGATGATTACTAAAATATGCGCAGCGAACGCCTATGTCTTTTTCTACAGATCTTCTGCTTTGCAAGGAACTCTAAAGTTTCACACTTCATTGTATATACCACTTATATTTATGTGAGTTTTCTCATGTTAAATTGAAACACACAGCTAATAATATCAGTTATATATTAGTGAGGAAATTGTATATGCCAATTTATGTTACAATGGTATTATGAGTGACTTCCAAGCAATAATAATTGCGGTCACAGGCACATTGAATGAAACTATGTCATGAAAATGCATAATAACCGTCCCTCGCTGAAAGCTTCTCTTGCTTGATTGAAAGTCGATAACTTTGATTTGTCGTTCAGGTTCACTTGCTAGTTCAACTGTCTTCTTCAGTGAACTTTGCCGAATGAGCACATTAGAGTTTATTGCTTTGAAAAAAAATCAAGAGAGATCCTCAGGTAATTAAGCCTTCATACCGCTTAGTGTAAGTTAAACGTTGACAACGAGCTTGTATTTGTATTATGTACTTTTAAACACATATTGTGCAATATGAATCATCCAAAATTCGTTGGGCACATTGTTTGAGTTTTCCAACTTGGTACATGAGTCAGAAACATCATTATGTTTATGAGTAACACCACGAAATTTCACAACTGAGGATATTTTGAGGGACGAAGTCATCCAGAATCCCATGGCAACTCGGATGTGATAGATGATTCAGTTGTCTAGAAGTGTGTGTCGAGGAATTGATTTCTAAGGTTTCTTTGATTCACTGAGTGATGAAGGCCTTCTCTTGTGTTTGACTAGTTTTCTGCATCATTTTACCTCCACCATGCTTTCGAAAATAGTGGTTTAATGAGACCATGAGTCGAAAGATATCGGTCGCAATTATAATATTTAGAACTACACATATAACGAACAGATTTGTTGCTTTCAATTAGATCTCATCAGGCATAACTCTAATATACATAGGTTTACAAATGAAATTCATATATATACCAATCATGGTGTTCTGTCTATAGAATAATAAGATGGTGAATATAAATTGTGCAATTAGTCATAATAGTAGTAATGATAACAATATTAATAATAACAACGGTTATATCAGTAATAAGGATGAAAAGTGAGTCAATCTGTGATAATACGAACAATGAAAAACAGCATGATTAAATAAACAATTGTTCAGTTAGAAGTAGTCGATAAAGGACAGTAGAAACATATGAACCGATTAAGTAATCCTCGACTGATTGTCAGGGAAGTAAATGAGACACATTTTTAATGAAGATGTGATAAGATTAAGGGATGATAAGAAAGGGGTTGAAAATATAAACAAGGGGTGATGTTGAAGTCTTTAGTTGATTATGTCTTAATAGGCCAATAAGGGAGATATAATGGCTGTACGGACTTCTTTTGAATGCAAAGTTTAGTTTTATTAGTTCGAATGCTTACCGCCTCAGCTGTGCACAGTAGACGGAAACGAAGTTCATTGGAAAGATTCGGTGGGATACGTTGAATTACTTTGAAAGCTCTCATTTTCTCCATTACATGACCACTAACAATTAGATGTGACAAAGTTGAGCTGAGGATTGTTTTTGTTTGTCTTCTGCCAAACCACGATAGCAGATGTTCACTAGCACACTGGTTTAGCTGTCTAGTAGTACGCCCAACATAACTGTCGCTGCAGATGCAGTTGAATTGATGAATGCACATAGATGTAGCAAAGCCATCTACCTTATTCTTCGTTTGCGCTACATTCATTAGTTGGCTGGAGAATGACAAATATAGGTATGCTGCGTAAAACGTTCTTCGTATACTCCTGGAAAGTCTCTGGAACAAAGTCTTACTAGATAAGTCACCATTTATTTTAACTTAATCAATAGAGGCTTTTTACGTACAATCAGAGTTGTAGGTTTTCTCTCTGATGTCTTCATATATTTCTTTTTAATTATAATAATTATTCTCCTAGGAAATACGACCTCTCCAGATTTACATACTTCCATGGTTTTCGCTTTTTACACTTAACAGTGC